TGAAATAATTGACTGTGAATAAAAGAAGATAATGATGATGTTAAACTACCTTTTTTAAAATTATGTAATTATGTCTACATTCTTGCCAAGTCAGTTGAAAGCAATGCTGGATAGTTGTGAATATAAAAGTGTATTTATCCAGCTACTATTTGAATATATATTTTAAAGCTCGTCTATTTTATTTATTACTTGGGAATATACATAATTTTTTCATAAACCTTTTGCAAATCCAAGTTTCTACAAACCAGATGTCTAATGCAAATTGCACAAACCAATAGCAATATCAATTTAACCACTCAGTTTGCTTTATAATCTGGATGTATTTATTTTATCTGTCATATCTTTATTTTATGTTTCCTGCATGGATGCCTTCAAATTCTCAACTCATTATTGAAGCTATATGAACTCATGGTAGATGTTGTATAGATGAATTTATTTAAAGTCCAATTTCTATTTGAAGTGAAACCCTGTGGCATGCAACTTATAAGAAGGTCTCGTATATTTTTCCTAAGAGTAACACACCAGCTTCATTGGGCCCGCTTATATAGAGACTTATTTTATTCCCATTAAAACATATCAAATTTTAAGGATTTCTTGATTTTACTTTAACCAATCCCAATATTCTACAGAGAAACTTGGTTTTGAAGAATATCTTATTTATGAAGTTTCATGAATACCTGAACATACTCTCAAAAGAAACAATTTATATAAAAGATATGTAGATATAAATGATACCAGGATTAAAATGTTGTACGCCAGACGCGCGTTAAGTCTACAAAGAATCATCAGTGACTCTCGATTAAAAAAAATTAAAAAGGCAAAGTTAAGTAATCTATTCCTTGGGTATAAAATCCTTGGCATTTCGAAATTGTCACAGTTAATAATAGGACAGTGACTCAAAAGAGAAAACAAAAGAGAAACAGCTAGAGGTCAGAATACCGTAAGTAACATATATATTACATGATGACCGTGCTTGAAAGTCACATGTCAATCTCTTACTGCCGTGTCTTGAATTAAATTAAAAAAAGCGAAAATTCTCATTCACGAGTGAAATTAATTTTTATGCATGCACGTGGTATTTTTGTCCAAGAAATAGTGAATAGAAAGCATACGCACTGATACTCTGGATAAGAATACGCATTTTCGTCATCGCATATATTAATATAATAGTTGAATTCGGGTGTCAAACTACCTACCTCAAGTGTTTTGACTTCGGATTCATTGACATTTTATCCGGAATTTTTGTGATAGTGGGCGTGTGAACAGGATGATGTATAATGTGAATGAATCAAGACGTGTATGATAGCTGGTCAACACAATGAATACAATTTTCAAATCTGTACCATAGTACAAATATTTAGATGCTATAAGTAGCAAATGCTCAAGTGATTTTTTTAGTGATATTTCTAAGTAATTTGAAGTAACATTCCACTAGTTCAGAGTCTTACTGATATAAAACAGCAATAAATACAAGATAATCTGAGATAACATTTTTCTATCCATGTTTAAAGATTTAAAAAATTTCAGTCAAATTATCTAACCTTAAATATTCCCCACAAAAAGCGTCAACCATGAATATTTTCAAAAATAAATAATATTTGGCTTACTTTTTATTTCCAAAATTACTTAACTGGTTTAATAGAAATAAAAATATACCTTTAGATAAGATGTGTAGCATAGAAAAATACAATTTTGCAAAAAATATAAAATATCATAAATTTTGTAAATCTTTTGTAAATTATCTCCCTTTCGTCAAAATCATTTTTTTTCTAAATGAATGATTAATTGCAAGGCAAATCATCAAGAATTAAATAGAAATGAACATAGTTTTATTATGGAAAGAATACACTGGTATAAAACTTTAAAATTATAACACATTTTCTGTCATTTTTGCAAAAAGACTTGGCTCTGGATACCTTTTTTTTCTGTATTAAGCTGTTTTTCGTTTTAAACCTCACTGCTCTTCTGTAAATCTCACTGACTGCTCTTCTTTACACCTCACTGCTCTTCTATAAATCTCACAGACTGCTCTTCTATAAACCTCACTGCTCTTCTATAAATCTCCACTGCTCTTCTATAAACCTCACTGCTCTTCTAAACCTGCAAAAACATATATATTAATAAAACTTAATTTATTGGATTCAAGAATTTTTTATATCAATTATAATCATATTCAATGTTAACATGTTCTTTAATACACAAATTAAAATGACAGAGACAAAGCTGCAACTACAATAGCTTTAAAAGATGATTTATGAGTACAAAGTTAAAATATATTAAAATTTACATGCTACTATTTTTTAAACAACCGAAAGTATTGTTCTTCCTTTATATATTAAAATATTTATCCAAAAAATCTTGCGAAGAATGTCATTGTTATCTGTATATTTACATGTCTGCTTTTACTATCATATTACTGCAAGAAGATTCTGTGCATTCAACAGAATTAACAAAAAGCAACAAAAACAAACAAAAGCAGCAATAAAAAAAATTGTAACATAACAATAAATACAATGGTATATTTCTAGAGAGACCTTTACTATTAGTAGTACGAGTATATTAACAGACCATAATTTATCATAATTTATTTTAGAATTTATGGTGTCGCTAGATATAATCAAGTGTATTAATGATCTAGGATATATTTCTTGTACTTTCAATCTGAATATAGTTAAAATTATCAAGTTTTCTAATAAATTCATTAATTTGCAAAAGAGGTCTTTTACTGTTTATAGAATGTTTAATATTTTAGCACATAAAAAAAATTCTTACACTGATATCTCTATCATGCCACGACATTTTTTGTTAATGACCTAACCATTCTGTTTAAGAAACATTAAAGTTGAGAATGGAAATTGGGAATGCGACAAAGAGACAACAACCCGAGGACACAGCGAGAAAATCCCACACTCAGAGGCGGGCTTTAGCTGGACCTTAACATATCAGTGAAAATGGATGTAGCAACTCTGAAACATAGATGAACTAAAAATAAAAAAAACATACAAGTCTTACTGAGGCCAGAGGCTCCAGACTTGGAACCAAAGAACAACCAAAGAACAAACTAACATTTGAACAAATCAACAATGTATTCTTTGCTTCTCCCATTGTTTAATACATCTAACATATTACTGTTATCATTTTTAAGTTCTATGCATTCTTATTCTTTATGTTTGAAATCTGTCTTTATATCTTTTATTTCATTACACATTTCAACATACTTTGTTTTCAATGACTTAAGTCTTTCAACAGATTCCCTTAAGCTGTTACATTCCTTAATGAGACTGTCTTTCACAACAGACAGCTTTGAACATTCATTCTTAAATTTTTTTATTGTTTTCAGATTTATTCAAAGCACGATCGAGTTTTCTTTTTAATAAAATTCGCTCTTTTCTGACATTCAAATATTTTTCTTTCACTATTTCCACTTTATTTTTTTCATTTTCAAGAAATTCATTTTCTTCCTTAAGTTCCTTAAATACTGATTGTTGTGATGTTTGTACAATTCTCTTGAATTTTGCACTCTGGGTATTTGACAAACTCTGAACCGGTATGTAGAATTGTTCATTATTGAATGTTTTTAGTCCCTTTCCTCCTTTTTTTTTTACATGCTAGAATTTTATACAATTTTGCTCGTAAAGTTGGTAAATTTATGATGGTAAATTCGATTTCACAAATTTTCGACAATATTTCGGCTACTCTACATTCTGGTTGAATTGTTTTTTCACTTTTTTCAGATTTAGCATATATAAAAAGTTCAATAACTAAACCATTTTTAATCATAAATTGTGGTATATTTTGGACAAGTTGTTCTTCATTTCCAGGTTCTAATGTTTTAAAATTTATATTAAGGCTGTCAGCAAATGGTCCTAATGAAGACATATTTCTACAAGTACATGTATATATATTTAAATTAAAATTATTACTGTTTATTAATTTTCTTCTTGAAACTATCAATCTGACCACTGAGCACTTTCATTTCGGCTTTCATTTTGTCTTGCCATATTTGCTGTTTTTTTAAATCTTTGTTTTTTTCTTCCAAATCTTTGTTTTTTCCTTCCAACTCTTTGAGTTTTTCTTCCAACCCTTTGTTTTTTCTGTCTAAATCTTTATTTCTTACCCTTAGCTGCTTGTTTTCAGATCTCAATTCAATATTTTCTTTCCTCAGTTCTTCATTTTTCTGTATGTAACGTAAGGCAAATGGATCTTTTACCTGGATAAAGAAATAATAAATTTCCACTTGAAAACTAATAGTTGTTTGTTTGTAGGATTATTAATGATTGTTTTGCATAATTTTCTATTTTGAGTAAAGGTGGCAGCCATGTTTGATAGCTGTTGTCGTCTTCAAACACAATACTGAAAGAAGATCAAATATGTATCATTTTTCCAAAGTTTTTGTTTTCCTCAGTTGGTTGACCGTTATGGAATACCTGTTTAACATACAACGACGGATATGTTCTAATTGTCGCAACAACATTCCTGTCCCTTTCCCCTGACTTTGACCTAGCAAATTAGACTTACAATGTATAACTGGGGTTGTACTTACATGATCAACAAGACGGGTGTCACATGTTGAGCAGGATCTGTTTACCCTTCTGGGGCACCTGAGATCGCACCCAGTTTTTGGTGGGGTTTGTGATATTCAGTCTTGTCTTGTGTTTTGTGTACTATTGTTTGTGTTTTGGTCTTATTTTTAGCGATGCCAGGAGTTGTGAAACATCATTGAAAGTGAGAATCATAGCATGGCGTTGTCAGTTTACTTTTGACTTATGTTTGAATGACCCTCTGGTATCTTTTCCCTCTCTTTAAATGAATATAACCCTCAAACTTCTTAAAATAACATGAAGACATGTCATTTTTTACATAATTGTACTTGACTCTAGTCTTTTACGTGTTTGTATAAAAATTAATAACAGACTCTAAACATACTATTTTCACTTCTGGTTTTTCCCGTCTAACAATGATGGTCTTAAATCTTTTTTTCTCCGGTGTATTGAACACAAACTCTTGATCAGAACTACTTGGTTCACACTGAGAAAAAAATATATATATATACATGAATCTCATAACAAAAGCAGATACATCAAAATATGCTATTAAATTAAAATCATAGTGCTAGCATAGCATTAGTATAGTAAAATACTCAATATCTGGGGATATCCTTACACGTACATGCAACCATATATACCTTATTGTAGATTTGATTTTGTCTAGCTGATAAAAATTAATATACTGCTGCACTTGTTCAGTATGGTGGAAAAAAACTGTCCGTAATATAACAGTTATAAAATACATGTAACACATTTATCCCTTGAAAAATAGTGCTGCAAGTGTGTCAATTAAATGAAAGCTACAATGTATGGTACAAATTGTAAACATGTATTTTAACAAGACAAAATTGACTTATTTAAAAAAAAAATACTTTGCAAACAGTATATATATATATATATCTTATAAGTACCTCCACTTGGTTTCTTTTCAATTCTTTTGACATTGATGATGACATCTAATGATTCCATAAATTCTGATAATGATAAACAAATTGTGTAAAATGTATAGAATATATTATGATAATGACACAATAAAAAAATATGAATTCAAATATTTACTTATCTGAATCAATTTCTTATATACTTTATTGAAGAAGAAAGTTTAGGTTGAATTTATTTGTTATTTATTTATTATTCTAAAGACAACAATTAAATTACAAGTTGTGAACTTGAATTGTCTATACAGAGCTCTTCATAGACGATCCAAGTAGTCTTTTATGTTTTAGTATACTCAAAATGGGAAATTTATCAGAGACGATATTGACTATTGTTGAAAAGATTTCTCTTCCGACACAGTCTTTTTCATTAAATATAATTTCTCTTCTGACACAGTCTTTTTCATTAAATAATTTACATAGTCAAAACTTTAAATTTCATACTTTGACTTTGAGACAATGATGATTTATTGATGGCCAGTTGACTTTATAAACAGTCTGAGTTGTCTTTTTTGTAGACTGTCCAATTAGTCTAGCATTCGTCTATTTTTTGTCTACCCCCTTTTTATGTACCTTGCAACCCAGTCGACTATTGGACCTAGAGCACCTATCTGAAATCATTAGATGACTGAAAAACTATTTATCATCAATATTCATTACGATCTTCTAATTTTCTGGTTACTGCAAAATTGCTGTTGTGAAAAGTTTGCTGTATTTTCTGTGAATCGGAAAACCGGAAGTGAAGAAATCATGAACAGATAACTGTAGTTTGCATTTTTACCTTAGTTATTGAGGAACACCATAGCAAAGATTATCTCTATTTTTAAGCTAAGTACGGGAAATGTATGTATGTGCAATAGAATATATCAACTCAATATGAAATATGCTTCAAAATGAACCGAAGTAAAGGGGGACTATAGTTAATAAACAATATCCTTCATTTTTATTGCTTCAAACTGGGTACGTGTTTGGAATGTGGTAAATAATGAGCAGTGAGTTATTTCCCCTTTGCATTGAGCATTGCTACTATAAGGTTGAACTAATAAAAGAAAAAAAAATTGAAATTGTATAATAAACAAACATTCCTGCTAGTGAACTTTTCCGAAAATTTAGAATATAATATCAATTAACACAAACGTTGAGTATTTAGTGATGGACAATGTATTTATCAAATGAATCTCTTTTGAAAGTCTATCATTCGACTATATGAATATATTGCTATACAAAATATAAGAAGAGACTTATAAATCCATACTAAAACAATATAAAACAATTAACATTATAGTAGTTATTAATTTTGTTATTATAATTATTGTAAAATAATAATTACGTTTTTTGTGAGATACAAGGATTTCAAATGCGTGTGATTTGAAACGTATTTTCCATTCACGACCGTTTGAAATTTAGATATTTAGCTAACTTTGGTTACGCATCCGTGCTCATTAGTGCTCATACATTACATATAATTTTCATAAATGTAATAAAGGCAACAGTAGTATACCGATGTTCGAAACTCGTAAATCGATAGAGATAAAAACAAATCCGGGTTACAAACTAAAACTGAGGGAAACGCATCAAATATAAGAGGAGAACAACGACACAACTGACTTGGTACAGGACATTTTAAGAAAAAAATGGTGGGTTGAACCTGGTTTTGTGGAATGCCAAACCTCCCGCTTTTATGGCAACGTCAAACACAACACAAAAACGACAACATCACATGACAGGACCACAATACAAATAAATGGGAGAACATATAGGACAAAGAAACACACGAATAATAGCTAACAAAAGGTACTAGGCTTAAAATTCAATACGCCAGACGTGCGTCTCGTCCACACATGACCAACCAGTGACGCTCAGATGAAAAAAGTTTGAAAGCCAAAACAAGTACAAAGCTGAAGAGCACCGAAGACCAAAACTTCCAAAAAGTTGCGCCTAACACGGCCAGTGTTTTCTGCCTGGGACAAGAACATCCTTATTATTTAGAATAATTTATAATTTTGCAAACAGTAAATTTTATAAAATGACTATATAATAGATATACATGATAAAACCGAAGTGGGGACTAACTACAGAATAAAAACGGATACATTACATAAAACAACTTAATCCAACACTTAAAATTACACAGCCGAGTTAGCCAAAGCCTCAACGCACAAAGTAACGTCACATCTGAAATTCTATAAAATCACACAAAGTGACGTCACATTTGAATTTGTAAAAATATTTCCCAAAAATAAGATCAAATCTGATTTTGAATTTTTGGAATTTTGGGTCCTCAATGCTCTTCAACTTTATTCTTGTTTGGCTTTCTAACTAATTTGACCTGAACTTCATTGATGAGTCTTATGTAGACGAAACACGTGTCTGGTGTATCAAATTTTAAGCATGGTACCTTTGATAACTATTTTACTTACCTTAAAATGATATCCATCCAGGCCTCTCTTGGCCTACTTTACTCTATGGGCCACTCGATATACATCGGAATCAAGATTCTCGGAACGTCTCGACAATTTTCGATCATTTATACAGGTAGTTATCTATGTCTTTGATACGGTCCCTCTGTGGATAGACTACCACGTGACATTATAAATTTCAACAATCAAAGTTCATTTGTAGATTGGAAAGTTAACCAATAGAGACTAGGTTGCATTTAAAAATCATTTATATGTTAGAACCTATTTACCTTTTGACAAAACATATGTGTTTTTAATAATGTGAATGTTAATTAAATATTAAGTATAATGATAACGCAATTATATCACTGAGATCACCCCCAGTTTTTGGTGGGGTTCTTGTTGCTTAGTCTTTAGTTTTCTATGTTGTGTCTTGTGTACTATTATTTGTCTGTTTGTCTTTTTAGCCATGGCGTTGTCGGTTTGTTTTCGATCTATGAGTTTGACTGTCCCTCTTGTATCTTTCGTCCCTCTTTTATATAATTTATGCTTTGATAAGTTCCCTCTACACGTTGTGTGTTGTGTATTAAAACAGCGTGGTGTCGTGCATTGTGACAATAAACCTGGGAATAGTTTTCTGATATATAATGACCCAGGATGAACTGATTATTTCTGAACGTTTATCATTTGATATTGTGTATTTAGATCATAGCATGAGAATATGTCGGAAAGCAAAATGAAAATTAAAAAAAACGATTTTTCTGTTTATTCATCTTAGGTCGGAAAAAAAGTGGTCGGAAAGCAGAAAGATAATCAAACAAGAAGATTTTTCTGTAAAAAAAATATCTAATTTCATTAATAGATACTACCAGACTAAGAGAATATTCATTGTTAAGTTTAAACTGAGACTGAATTTATTAACAGAATATAATTAAAATTGTAATTTTTACGTGCATTATCATGTCTCACAGATTTGATCTTATTTTTTTTAAACTCATAGATCGAAAACAAACCGACAACGCCATGGCTAAAAAGACAAACAGACAAATAAAAGTACACAAGACACAACATAGAAAACTTAAGAATAAGCAACAAGAACCCCACCAAAAAATGGGGGTGATCTCAGTGATATAATTGCGTTATCATTATACTTAATATTTAATTAACATTCACATTATTAAAAACACATATGTTTTGTCAAAAGGTAAATAGGTTCTAACATATAAATGATTTTTAAATACAACCTAGTCTTTATTGGTTTACTTTCCAATCTACAAATGAACTTTGATTGTTGAAATTTACAATGTCACGTGGTAGTCTATGCACAGAGGGACCGTATCAAAGACATAGATAACTACCTGTATAAATGATCGAAAATTGTCGAGACGTTCCGAGAATCTTGATTCCGATGTATGTCGAGTGGCCCATAGAGTAAAGTAGGCCAAGAGAGGCCTGGATGGATATCATTATAAGGTAAGTAAAATAGTTACCAGGCTTATAATTTGATACACCAGACGCGTGTTTCGTCTACATAAGACTCATCAATGAAGTTCAGGCCAAATTAGTTAGAAAGCCAAACAAGAATAAAGATGAAGAGCATTGAGGACCCAAAATTCCAAAAAATCTGAAACCTATTTCAAAACAGTCGTGCTCTTCAGTGAGCACCTGACGATCTTACATGCATCAAATTAAATCAGATGAGACAAAAACAGGATAGGTAACCTGGTTTGGGCTTTTTATACGCAATGAAGTAACTTATACATGAGGGATCCCATATTGAAACCGGCCATTTTGACAGATTCATTTAGGAAAAAGATCGAATGTTGTCATTTCGTGTTCATTTTGTAGGAGTATAGAATTGAGAATGGAAATGGGGAATGTGTCAAAGAGACAACAATCTGACCAAAGAGTAAAACAATCCAGCAGAAGTACACCAATGGGTCTTCAACACAGCAAGAAAATCCACCTGCCGGAGGTAGACTTCAACCCCTAAACAAAAATTAGTACTAAACTCCAAAACATATAAATGAACTTAAATAAAAAACAGATACAAAACTAATAAAGGCCAGGTGATCCTGACTTAGGAAGGCGCAAAATCCAGCAGGTTAAACATGTTTTGTGATATCTTTATTTATTTTTCTACCTATTGAATTTTGAATCTGAATCATAGGAAAAACGTTTTGAACCGACATTCAAACATTTTTGGATTCTGTAATTAGGAGTACATATGTACCCAAATTAAACACATGCTTAAATACGCATCCGAAAAATAATAAAAAAGATGTTTTGTTTTATTTTTCCTTATTGCTTTTAACTAATTTTGGAAGAAATAAATTCTTGCGACATATTTTAATTGCTCATTCTTAAAAGTCTTTTAGTGTACATCTTAATTTTTATGAAGAAATAGTTATTTGTCTTCTTATACTAAAAGTAATAAAAATAAAGATGAAAACTAAGAAAGAAAATTCAAAGAAAATTCAAAGAAAATTCAAAATGTGAGATCATGTTATTTTTCTGATAAAATTGAAGGAAATTAAGATGACACAAAAACTAAGGAGTCATTTGAAAGATCTTGGTTATAAAACAAAGTTCAAGACATTAGTATTGTACTCGAAATACATGAGAAATTTCACCATGACTCTAACACCATTACTGAATCAGTACAGACATTAACAAATGCCAAAGGCATATTTACGATTGTATCATATATTTTAAACAAAGAAATATAAAAGGAGAAATCCTAATCATATGAAATATTACTTGTCGCAATTCAATATTAAAAAGAGCACTTTAGATGAAATACCTGCAAAATTTATCAGGAATGGTGCTGGTATATTACAAAAATCAATCTTAATTTTGACTGCTGTACCCCTAAGTTTGACTTTTGTACCCATAATGTCTATTTGTTATTGTTCACGCATCGTTGTCAATATAATGGAATTTGATGCAAATGTCGTACAAGTGAGAGGTTTAGCGCTATAAAACCAGGTTAAATCCACCATTTTCTACATAAGAAAATGCCTGTTCCAAGTCAGAAATATGACAGTTGTTATCCATTCGTTTGATGTGTTTGAGCTTTGGATTTTGCAATTTGATTAGAAACTTTCCGTTTTGAATTTTCCTCGGAGTTCAGTATTTTTGTGATTTTACTTTTTTTTCACAGAAATTATAAACCATCAATATTGACTAGCGTTGTTCCAAATAGTATGTAATTCTCAAGAGTAAAACCTTTATTTAAAAAGAA